GTCAGGTTTGGCTATAAAATTTGGACCTTGAGTTCGGGTTGTACAACTCCACTGTCTGCCTTCACAAGGTTACACACAGATGCATTAAGCCGTGGAACCACTGAAAGGCACCTTGCTTACCGCCAGTGTTATGCTGTACACGCCCAATTCCAGTGAAAATAAAGCAGAATCTATGGTACCTTCGTATTTTATCTTCATCTGATGCAAAAATTATTTGACTCTCCTCATTTGTACTTTTATAAATGGTTATTGCCCTTTCAAAGTTAACAAAGTGGTGTAAAAGGGTGTTAGGCGAAAGGATGGTGCATGCACCTTCTAATTAAAAAACAGACTCAGTAAAAGACTTGTTTGGATGCATTTTCGTAATGTGCTCTTTATGTAGACAACGTAACGAGCTTAAGCCTTATGAGTGAAGGCAGCAAAAGTGACTTCATTTAATTTCGCCAACTCGAGCACTGGCGACACTACTTCGCATAGAGGAGACGTGCATCGGCTGGGTTACACCGGAAGTGTCGCTGATGTAAACGTCGGCGGGTCACGTACTCCCACAGTCATGCCTAGACTGGGCAGTTGATCTTGAAAATTAACGAATAAAGGGAGGTTTGCGTGGCTCAATTCGTGGTACAAAATACCGTTCCTTACTTTTAAGTAAATCCTTTTCCACCAATGTAGCTATCAGTCTGCAAACATCTGAAAACAAGGGACGCATCCTCGTTCCGCAATGCTAAGGTGGAGAGCGTTGCCTTTGATGTGTTGCTTGATCTCCACTTAGAATAGGTTATTCAATCCTTACCTAAATTCTTAACTTTTCGCATTGCTTCTCTGACATCTGCTAGGGGTAACGTGTGCGCATATGACATGGATTGTGATTTTGTTAAAAAGAATGAGACACATGTGAATTAGCTTCATTAACTGAACGCTTCACACCAGTCTCCAGCATTGTTATTAGCAGTAACCATACAAACTTTACGCAATTTTCACAAGTCACTCAACGTAAATTTAACTTAACAAAGTGCTCTAACGTGAGGCGGATGAGTTTGATGATGTGAGTTTTGTGTGCCTTTGTAGGTTTTCGTCAGCCAACGGAAGACGACTCTTACCCTCCCATTTTACTCTAATCATTTTCAAAAACCTAAACAGGTGCTAAAATTCAGAGCTGTACCATGTTAATAGCGAAGACTTTAGGCTCTGGAAAGCCTATTTTCGTCTTCCAACCAGTTGCTTTAGCATAACGATGAATAGTTATTGACTAAATTGTCGGATTTCGTGATTCGTTTCTGTGTTAATAAAGGCGAATAGGAAGAAGTTCAACGCTTGCTCATTTGTGCAGCAGTTAGCAGTAATCGACAATGCGGGTGCTCCTACACCCTTTCCATCTTCACTTCATTGCCACAAATTAAAGTGATTCGTATTGTCTGTGGAATGCTGCAGTTAACACTGATCTTTAAATATCCCTCTTTTGGTGGCAGAATGGGGAATGTAGCCTGTGTATAAATATTTCATAGACACGTTTTAATTAGACAGGAAAAACATTGACAGTGTTATTATTCAGCAAAGCACGTTCAAACGCACCACCCTTCCCACCTTGTTAGCCTTCACGATATCTTGAGGTCACAACTCTTCCAGCCATTACCAATCCAGCAAAAGGACTTGTTAGGAAGGCTGCTTAGGGAACCGATAGGCCTTGAATAAGATAGTTGATATGACATTTAGTACTTAATGTCTAGTTCCACCCATTTGCGGTCTCCATCTTACACGTTTATTGCATCCAAGAATTGCCAGCTCAGTCTTGACCGATGTGTTGCGAGGTAGACCAACACTTCAGTAGCGAGATAGAAGCCCTCATATACACTTGCACATTTCTGCCCACCACGAAGCGACCCCGGGGAAATCATTGTTGGAATGAGTGTAGCAAAGAAAAGCATTCATGCTTGTAGCTTTGCGCATCCTTGTTCTGTCATGGAGAGAGGCTTGATTGTTTATTTGTGCTAGTTCCAATCCTCTGGGTATTAAGGCAACTGACGCATTTGGCTACTTCAAATTCCCCTTCAACCACCAAAAAGAAAAACATCTCTCTCAATGTTATAGGCCTGTAGAAACAAAGGTTAGAAAGAAGGCTGCGCTTTAAAGCTTTGCCAACTTTGATGCTATTTTTATTAGTGTTCGGCAGAGGCCGAGCTCCCACTCATCTGACGTTTTGTAATCAAAAGCTGAACGTCGCAAGTGACAATGCTGATTCCATATTTGCACTCCGAACTGATGCTTGGGTGGTGAATATCTCTTTGGTCTTTGTCATAATCCGCATCTCCAACTCATCTTACTACATGATTGTCTCCGCATCAGCCCTTCTAGTTGACAAATCTCCCATCACATTCGCACCCTACCCGCGTCAAATTGACGCTGAGTGCTTGTAATTATGACTACTGCAATTATCCCCTACAATAATGTAAAAATCGGACTTTTTCGAAAAATTTAACGCGTGCAGCACCGGATTGCTAACAACAAATTAAGGCAAACATACTTTTGGAAAGAGTTGATGGTATCGCAAATGTGAGTTGGTTGAAGCACTTCTACACAGGGCATGCTTTTCGTTAAGTACTATTTATGCTTGAGACCTTATCAACATGGCATAATCTACTCTTGATCACTTTAATGCGGAACATGAAACCTCTAGCCTTTCTCCAAAAAGTCAAAATCAAAAACAACATTGACCAAAGTACAGTGAGAAGTAATTTTCGCGCACGACCTGCCTTCCGTCTCCAGTCCTTGCCATGTGGGTGGTGGGACTTGGCATCCCATGCGCCCCCTCCCCTCTCCCACCGCCTTTTCGCAGACATTTGTTAGAATTGTTGAACCAGCTTCCTGTGGTTCTGTACAAATAATTCAAAATCACGGATAGTAATGCCTTCGTAAGGGCACTTTGCTATCCAAGTAAACCATGGATTTCAAATTGCAACATCTTTTCGCGGTCTTCGTTTTATTCAATTCTCCATCTTCTTCTTCAGTCACAAAGACGTGTACATTATAAACGCAAATGGTTAATTGGAACTTCGAGACAATCTCCGCTTATTTTTTTCGCACAATTATCTAGAGTTCTTTTTCGCTCAAATGCAAAATTTATACATTTCTCATGTATACAGGATGTATGTGTAGATATGAGAATGATCCGGTATCTCCTCAGCACCGTAGGGCTTTGGTTGGTGAATGCATTCCTTCAGCAAGGATTACCTTGGAGTGGCTGACTTAAAAGGGCTAATTAAGGTAAACGCTAGCGTCGAAGTTCAACAGAGGTCGTTTGATCAAATCTCACTTTGTGTAGCCGAGTCACCTACGATTCCTGTCACTGCAAACATGCAAGGCAATCATGCCTATCGGCCAATCCAGTACTTATAAACCCTTAAAGGAGTATTCAGATAAATGTACTGCCGAAAACATTTTCATGGCTTGATGATATGATGCCAAAAAATCGCTTGAAGGCAAAAAACTTCCGTCTTCGATGAAGATTATAAGGGACCGCGACTAACAGAATATACACCCCTGATTTCCTACTTTCATAATTTGAGTGTCGTGGGGAACTTGAAAATGTTTATAATTTGTGAGACATTGGTGTCGTTTAATCCTCTGGGATCCAACAATTTCACTACTGTTATGTGGACTTTCCTCCGGGCCAGTCGGGGAGATTTAATTGAGCATAAATATTGCCTGCCTTGTGTCAATTTCCTGGTTCCAAGTTCTCCGTAAAAGTCCTTATTAACGGAATCTATTTTAGTTAAGAACCTTCTTAAATAACTTCGCTTTTAAGTTCCCCGACTAGACAGCCTGAATATAAAACTGGAAAGGCGAGATTATATAGAGGTAAAACGGTTTTAATAACTGAATAAGCCCCATGATGCAGAACGAAACCCTCCAGATTGTAAGATTATCGGTAGGTTTTTCTGCCAATGTCTATTTTTTAAGTGAAAATTAAGGTCCGACTTCAACAGAATTGCCAAGAAGGATCAATAAGGTTGAGGTCAAGTACGACTAAGCATGTTGAACTAGGTGATGCATGGTGTGTTCTATCGCCAATCGAATGGAGAGAGGAGATATGCAATGCCCTTCGTTTTTGGTTGACTCTGGATTTCAGTCACAGTTGTATGCTTAAATGAAGTTGTATTCGATGGGTGGACTGACCTCTAGGACGACATCAGAAACTTCGATTCCTTCCATTGTCCAAAATGTACATTCCGCTAAAGCGGAAAGTCTTATTGCAATAATAAACTAATATATTGAAGTTTTCTTTATGAAGAAGAGACGGGACAGCAATTTAAACATGAAGAAGAAACGTTCCCACAATAACATAAGCTTTTCGTGCTAAATAAGTATTTTTTGCCATGCGATCATATCTGTTTGCATTTTCTGGCTTAGATCAAACCAAGACCTGCAACATATTAGTACTAAAAATCAGAGAAGTGACTTTTTATAGGTGCTATCCAGTTTAAATAATTGCAAGTGGATTTAAGTGTTTTAGAAAAGTAAATAAACAGGTTTGAAGTACAAACTCTTATTTCAGAATCACGTCAACACATTGAAATCAAAAGAGCTTCCATGTGCGACAGAAAATTGTGCCTTAATATTTCTTAGGCCTTGAATCTGAAGCATGCATTGTTTCATTACATTGATGTAAGAAAAAGTATTCAGTCACGAGTTTTGAAGTTAAAATATCGTCACATCTATTGAGGTCTGAGGCTCTGATATTTAGCTATCAAATCTATTTTTTCGTTTACTCTAAGCTATTGTATTGCCCGTCCGATGGCTGTTATTGACGCAAATTATGTGGTCTAAATGTTCCTGTATATCCTTTTCACTTACATGTAACTCGTCCTCTTGAAATTTGATCCCACCTATAAAACTCGTCAACGTTTTCTAGAGTGCTCCTTTTGCTTACTTTCTTCCTCTAGTATTCATTGTTTTCGACAATCCTTGTTTAACTGTCTTTATGCTAGCTTCTTTTTACCTAGATGCCATCATCCTTCCTCGAAGATCCTTTAGCTCTTGTCCCAGGCCGCATTGCTACCTTCAAGAAATGGCCATTCAGACGTCCCAAAGACAAATGCGTCCCTCAAACCTTAGCCAACGCTGGATTTTATCATCGACCAGATGTATCGGAGGACTCAGTTCAATGTTTTGTTTGCCACAAATTCTTTTATGGATGGAATCCTGACGTGAGTTTGAAGCCAACCAAGCTCGTTACATCCATACTTCTCCTTGTCTACGTACCTCCTTCAGTGCTGTTGATATTGGTCAATGTTGCGTGGCTTAGACATCTCTTATTCGGAGTACCTTTTTTATTTACCTTAGTTTCTGCTCTAAAACTGAAATAACTGAAAGTTATTGAAGTAGTCAAATTAGGAGCTGGATGCATATGGCGTACATTTTACAAGCATAATGATGCGTTCTTTGTCAAGGGAATCTCGAACACCGAACCATGTCATTTATTATCGAATAACATGGGAATGGTTTGGGGCTTACCGAATTTCGCTCACCTTTTTGAAAGTTAACTTCGGGTGTTCTGCTCAGAGTGAATAAAAATATCAGCATTTATAAAAATTGATCGAGGAACCTTTACTATTTTCAGCCTTTATTCTTTTGCTAATCAGACTGTTGGCCTTCTGGCAAAACGGATCATCCTCTGCTAGAGATTTTTGTTCATGCTGTCTATAGGAGGATCCGATGACCGAGCATAAGACTAAGTGCCCTGACTGCGCCTTCGTGCGCCTAGTGGAGGAACATGGTGGGGGTTACGAGAAGGCACCACGTCTGGCAGTGATCGAGACAGAGTGCGCTCGCCTCCGGGATAAATTTTCCTATCTCTTCGAGCAGGAGCTGCAGCACCGTCTCCAAATTTATGACAACGATCTCAAGCGTCTTAAGGAGGCCGTCTTCTCATTCACCAAGAACAACAATATAACCCTACCATCGACTGTCGTAAAGACTAGAAATGCAAGGAAAAGGCCCGCTTGTTAAGTGCATGTGCCTTTTGCCTGGTTTAATTTTTATACCTGTCGCCTATGAATACGTTGTAGCGGAAACATTATCACTCTTCTGATAACCACGTTGTTAATTTGCTAACATGTATTATACCTTTATTCCACTCAGTAATCCTCTTTAAAATAAACTATGAATAATAATACACCCCTTGTTTTTTTGTGGATTGCCAATGTGCACAGAAAACACTAGTGGGCTGTTGTAGGAATACGAATCTCTTTGGTATGCGCAGTGGTAGGCTATCCGTGGGATCTTGGTTTCCATTTTGGCTTCACGGCATTCCGTTACTAGAATTTCCGCAGGAATCCTCTTAAACCTCCACTGGATTGTTTTTCAAGGAATGTATATTCAAGTCTCATGAGTAAAGCAGGCCACTTTGATCTTTAGTAGCTGTGCACTTTAAAAATAAGGCTCGAAACTGTACTGTCCTGCAGTCTTGCCACCCAACAACTGCCAAGCCGATAAACTGATTTCCCAGTCTGCAGCGAAATTAGCTGTTTGATATGGGCCAATCAGGAGGGTCCCAGTCAGAGCATGAATCTCGAGATGTTTCGAGTTTGGCAATTGATTTGAACTCTTAACAAACAAAAATGGTTACAGATGTTTCGGATATCATTGCCCCTCAGAGGAATCAAAGGCAATTATTTTAAGGATCAATTTGCACCTGTCTTACTATGTGCCTTTTCTAATCTGCCATTCGCCAATCCGAACGACTTGATGAATGCTTGCAACAACTGTTGTAATGTTTTTCAGGCAAACAACCAATACCCACTCACACTTTTACCGGATGACCGCTGAGGTGCCGTGATGTGACAAGAACGAACGGACGCTAAATAATGGAGGCATTTTAAATAAACCCTCCTAATATGACCCGACTAATGTTGGCGTACTTGAAGCCAGTGACATTCAAATTGATCCCTTTCAATGCCTTGTCCCATTCGTGCAGTCGAAATCCAGGTACTTCTTATACCCTAAGAACCGTTCTAAGTGGACTAAACACAAGCTGAAAGTAAGATGTGTAGTGTCCCTAGACTTCCCCACCCCGTGGAGGAACGTCATGTAGTCACATAAACAAAGCAGTACAGTAAGGGAATTGGCCGACACCTACAAGTCAAACGGAACTTCACAGTTTTCTTGACTTGGCTTGGGACGTACTGCTGGGAGCCGACTTCTTACGCCAGTCTCGCGCGACTATGGATTTTGATACAGGCATGCTTACAACCCATTGAAGGACCAAGAAGAAGCATTCGATCCCTAAGCCGAAGAAAGATGCAGAGGATATATGCGGATCCCTTTTCGTCGCTCTTGACGTCCCCGGGACCAATCTGAACGATCGCTGTGCTCAACTGAATCATGTTACTGAGGCTGAGAGGAAGGAACTGCACTCACTCCTGACGAATTACTCACAAATTTTCTCCTGGGAGGGTGTGAAACTTGAACGAACCAGCATAGTCAAGCACAGGATCGATACTGTTGGGCCAAAACGGCCTGGGAGCCGCCTAGACGCATACCACCGCCTCTCCAAGACGAAGTGCATCGACTGATTGACGAGATGCTACGCGTAGTAGTACCGAGTTCCTTGATGCAGACACTCCTGTTGAAATTGCATGAGCAACTTGGCCATATGGGGGGAAGATGCTTGACGTCGCAAGGAAGAGGTATTGGTGACCCTTGCTGACATCGGATGTCTCCGATTTTTGTCGCGCATGCATCACGTGTACCAGCTTAAAGAACTCAACTCGCACGGCGGTAGTCCCTCTACAGCCGATGTCACCGGGCTTTCCGGGAGAGCGAGTAGGCACTAATATCATAGGTCCGCTTCCCACGACTCCAAGAGGGAACCGCTAATATTTTGGTGATTGTAGACTATTTCACCAAGGTCGGGGAAGCCGAGCCCTTACGGGCGCAGGCTGCTGAGACAGTAGCAACCGCATTCTTCAATCGTTGGATCTGTCAACAATGGCATGTCTGATGCAGCGCATGGCGACCAAGGGACCAACTTTGGAAGTTGTCTCTTCAAAGAACTATGCAAAGCCTTTGAATTCCGTAAGACGCGTGCGACGCCGGGCCACTCTCAGAAGATGGGCAGGTAGGGAGTAAAATTTGTACACTTATCAATTTATTGAAAGCCTTTACCAAAGGAGTGCAGCCCGGGGATTGGGTTCTATACCCAGGACGGGCCCTCCACGCCTACAGAACCTTCGCTCACACCTCGACTGGAGTCCCACCATTCAAGATGTTCACGGACCGTGAATTGAGTCCCTCGTAAGAAACTGCCAGTGGATAACGCGCCTCAGAATATCCTGCGACCAAAGGAAAACCTCCCATCGCTGTCACCAGTGCAGCGTCCCGAGACTTCCCACTGGATGAAAGTAGATAGTAAGTGAGGCTGCATACATGTGTTCCAAAGTGAACGAAGCGACTAGAACTGAGCAGGACCCGAAGGCCATCCCACACATGCAAGGAGCAGACAAATCTTAAGGTGATCGCCAAGCATCAGGTGGTCACATGAACAAAATATTACGTGATGATTCGATGTATCAGTGAGAATTAGGTAAATTAACTATCTGTAGCGTCCCGAGGCTTCCCATAGGGTAGTAGAAGGCATAAGGGAGGGTAAATACATGTATTCGGAAAACAACAGGGTAAGTGGGGCTTGAGCGTGACCCGAAGACCGACCCACGGGTACAGGTAACAGACAAATTCTAAAGTGACGGTCTGGCGTCCAGGTAGTCACATAAACAAAGCACTACACTACTCATGTGGAAGAGAATTTCAACTACCAACTAACTTAGAAAAGTGCCCCTAAAGGAGCGCAATAACAATTCAATTCAAGAAACAAAACAATACACGAAAGCTAGGGGCAGCAATTTTGTTGAGTCATTTATGCGTTTTCTTTTACCCATGGCGGTGCGAAAGATTTAAATTTTATTTATATTGTTATGATTTTTGCATGCATTATTAAATTGACGCTGTTTAATTTACATTATTACTTTTTATTTAAGTGCAACCTAATAAGCTTCTTTTATAGTGATTAAAGTTGATTTTAAAAATGACAAACCATTACCAGGTGAACCGGTTAGGACTTTGCGACCTCTACCTTTTGATTGGTGGGAATGCACTACATTTGATCAGAACTTCGCGTAAATTGTTGTGCGTCTCCTCTTGTCTGGTTGCCTCGATATGTCGGTACCTCAAGTTGATCCAATACCTGATGGCTGGGAAATGCGTCTGGATGAAACGACACAAACCTATTACTTTATAGATCATAAAAATCAACTTACACAATGGCAGCACCCAGTCAATAAGCTTATATATCGGCCGGCTCGTTCACAGCCCCAAGTTACCTTGAACGGTCATCAGTCTACGCCTATTGCCATTAACAGGCAACCCATCCTCAATGTCAAAAATGTGCGTAGTCAATTTCATCCGACCTCCGCCCCCGTCGAAGCAGATATCAGGATTCCCACTCCTTCGGTTATACCTGATTCAAAGTCTTCTGAAGAATCAGTTCAAGTAATTGCTCGCCTTTTAACATGCGTTTGTTAGCCATCAAATGTTCAGGAAAAGGTTGAGGAAGCTGATGGTGACATTTCACTCATTACCAAGGTCCTTGAGAAAGCTAGGCCTGTGATCGGGGAGGTGGATACGTTTAAGGGTAATTTGTCCGTTTTTAGTTTTGATTTACCCGTTTCATTTTAAATTATTCTTCGTATTTGCTCGTATTCGTATTTGGTCACCCTTTCTTATAAATACTTCTTATATGTGGTAGTGAAGATGCCGCTTGTATGGCATAAAGCGAATTGCAGGTCCGATATTTCGTAACCCGACCTTGATTGGTTGACAGGTTCAAAGGACTTACTGGGGTCGTTCTTCATTATAATTTTCTTTTTTGCCATTGGCTTGCTCTTGCTTTGTTTGCGAATAGTTTATTTTGGTTTTATCAAGCAAGCGTGCATGGGTACTGGTCAACCTAGCCTATCGGTTTATCTCGCATTCAAGGTATTTTTAAGAGTACCAGACGACTCCTCGTCATTAGCATTTAGTCGGTAGATATGGTATTCTTTTTTGATCACTGATTGAGAGCCGTATTTGGACTTCTCTTAGGTACCGTAGGTGATAAAAATTATTTACGATTGATGGAGACCTTGGAAGTGCTTATTCTGGAGCTGGATGGCATCGGCGTAGACGGTCAGGACAACGTTCGTACAGCAAGACGTGCAGCAGTGCGAGAGATTCAGCAAGCTATTGAGATACTAGAATTTCGTGGTTCGGTAAACACGGTTGAAGATACCTCCTCCAATAACGCGGAAGCTTGCGAAGCTCCTCCTCCCTCTTCATCTCCCCCACCGGAAAGCAATACTTAAGGCTGCTTGTTGTCTTATCTTCGGTATTATTATCTTCCCCATCTCCTTCATTAGATTCCCGGCTCGTCTTTCATTGCCTGCTCTTTACACGCTCCCTTCAAGTGTAAATGCTTCTGTGTGTGGTTGGCATGCCGCATGTGTGTATATATACATTTGTTCAGCTGAATTCGGTCGGCACTCTCAGACCTAGTTTGACGACCACAGCTGCCTTTTGAGGAACTTTCTTGTAGTGGTTCTGATTTTATGTGGCTTTATCATGTTACTCCGGAAGGCAGTAGTTTTGAGATTCTCCTTACTCACCTGGGATTTTCTGGGTTCAGTGCTTGTCTTAGTGTGTTGCGTTATTCCTTTTTCAAAGCGATTTGTTGAGGTGGTTGTGTTCAGCATTAATTCACTTGTCTTCCCAAGAGTGTTATTTGTTATTTAGTGTTAAAATACGTCTGTTCGACTATGAAACTAGTTTGGTACTGTTGGATTGAATTACTCACCTAGTCTTGTATTAGGTCGTGCTTTAGGCTTTTGTAGTCTTGCCGGTTAGACCACCATGAGCTTGGTCACGAGGGCTCACAGGCTGTTCCATTTTTAATTCGATGGTGTGAGGCGTACAAGTTCTTTGGTAGGTAGGGTTTGGTGCTGTCTGTGCTTCCTGTGTGAACATCTGTCATTGTTTGCAGGTTGTTATTTCCATTCGGCTGGGACCGGGTTTGAGCACTTAACTTTTGTTTACTTCTGTCAACTTATATTAGGTTGGTTTCCGGATGGATCATTTTGTTTCTGGGTACGTTTCCAATTTCGCTCGATTTCACACCTTCACTCGACATGACTGATGCCTCGTTTATGTTGCATCGGCCAAGGTGCAAACCGACAGCGAGTGTCGGTTTTGGATGCAAATTAAGGTGTATTTCTTGGCGTATGCCTGCACTCCTCGCGTCTTAACGTGTGGAGCTAGTAAGCAGACGTTTGGATTTATGTAGTCTCACTAAGAGATGAGACACTTTTGGCTACCGTTAGGGCGTCAGTGTCAGTCCTAGCTGAGATTGCCATTGTGCGGTATTGTTTGCTAACGATGTGGCGAATACTAGTCCGTAAGTCGGATTCCTTTCTTAGAGTCGCAATACGTCTGCCGCCAATGCCTGCAATTGGCTGGAAAGCTCCACGCACGTGACCAAGTCAAGGGGCTTTAATTGTCAAGCTGCAATGAACATGTCACCGGTTTATTAATCGGATTGTTGTGGTGGGCGGTGGTGGTTACCGCTTGAATTATGTAAATCTAAGACGAAGCCAGGAGCGGTGGGTGTAATATAACCCAAAATGTTTGTGCGATTAACGCAGTGGGGGGTTTCCGTTAAGCCTTAACGTTTGGAGTTGATGAGGACTCTTCGCGGTCGTTTAGGCACTTTGCCATGCGTATGGCGTAACTGTAGGCCGAGGTGAGTATTTTGCTGCCTTTTTCTCGTTCGTTTGTCTTGTTGCATGTTCACTTTGGTTGAGCTCTCCCGCTCTAGTTGTGGAACTGGGTATGGTGCTTACATTTATGGTTGTGGATCACTATGATAGGAAGAATTGATGTCAATATAAGTCTTAAGATAGAATTTTGAGCGGCATTTTACTTTCACGGATAAAAGTTTGCAACTGAGTGCGTCAACTGAGCCATTGCAAATTCAAAGGTTTGTAATTGCGCTTAATGAATTCAGGAGGTGTTTTGTTTTTTGGCGAGCCGTTTACAAATGGCCAGTAATGTTGGCTGTGGGTGCTCAGGCGGCAGACATGTGTAGTTACTGTTCGTTTTTTGCTAGAGTTCCATTTATAGTGAATTTTTGGGCTGCCACCAGTGACACACCATGGAGGGGAAGCATCGAATATCACTTGGTGTTTTCAAGCTTTTGAGCATGAATGCACAATTAATTTAGATTTGAATAGACTGACCATTAGGAGGAAGGTACTTCCATGACTATTGTTGAGTAACTGCAGATATAGATGTAGTTGTAAGATGGAACCACAGTGAAAATTTACTAAATGATGTAAAATGCTGCCATGAGACAATTTTGGCGAATAAAATGTAAGGATATCAAGCTGTGCTAGAGCGGTTAGTGGTCAAGGTTTTTGTTATAGAGTTACATGGACCATTTGTTTTACCTTTCTATTTCCTTTGCTAGTTCTGTCTAAATGTTGTCGAATGAACGAGTAAGTGTGTGCTGCTCCTCATTCAAATTACACTCAGCCCTCATGTATTTGTGGTCTTTAAGCTGATCAAAGACCTTGCTATCTTACTCATTGGCAGAGCGCAAGTCTTGGGTTCCTCCGGCGTTCATGCTCCACGTTTGGTAACTTGCCAAAAGACTGTGCTGAGGTTTGTCATGTTACAAGGCACTGAGGCTGACACACGATTTAGAAATGCAGTTTTTGCGTATGAGTGAGTTCTGTCTCTGACTGACCTGCTCTCTCGCTTGTCGAAAAAAGGTTTGCGCGTTCGCCCACGTTTGATAGCCGATGTGCTGCTGCGTGCCTTAGCGTGTGATTTTTTGACAGGAGTGTAGGACCTCCCCACATTATCGACTACAGGAGTTCGAAAACCCTAATGAAGTTCCTTTTGTAATCAAGTTCTTAACACTAGGTGAAGCACCTGACTGGCTGAAGTCTTCTCTACAGATATCTATGTCGGTGTTTTTTTGCTTTTCTGAACTTAGCTTTTGTTGGTGCCATTAAGTACTTTGTTCTGTACACGAGACTGGTAAAAGAAGTAGTTGACTTGCATGAGCTCGTGTATGCTGATTATCCTCCATTGCGACTTCTGTTAAGATGCTTTCGAACCAAGTGTCACATGTAACTACCTCGAGTGAGCTTGGACTTACCTTGTCGTAGCGAAATTCAACATCTAGCCCGGTTGTTTGTATTACTTTATGATATTTTTGAGTCATCAATGCCGTATGTACCTTGAAATACCACAAGATTCCGGTTTTATGTGTAACTAAGTTTGACAGTGCTTTAAAATAGTCCCAAACCTGCAATATTTATCGCCCATCTTAAACCTCCCCAACTTCGTCAGCTCTAAGAATCTGAGATATTTTTCTTATCTCTCTTGGGTGCAGTAAACACAATTTTTGATCCATATTTTCCGATCTTTAAGAACGCAATAACCACTTTAGTGGGCACATCAAAACTGCAAATGCGTTTGCACAACTTTTGCTGTCAGTGGTGCCAAAAATAGCGCTGTTTGTATGTTCATATGTGATCAAGGCTGATGCGGGACGTCTAGACGAAGAAAGCGCATCTACCTTGCATTTGTTAGTAGAATGTTGAGTTTATCATGAATCTCATTGTCAATTTTACTGATTAGGCTTGTGAAAACATCAGAGAGCAAATCGTTTGCAGGACATTTGAAGCACTTTGCGGGTCGCAGTGGCACCACCGAGTGCTTGTGAATCACTCCTTTAATGATGGTGTGAAAGTAGTTAACACAATGCAGCTTATTAACAGCACAAAGATCTCCAAAGGGAGTTGCACAGTTTTGTCTCGACAAATTATTCAAGATGGGTGAGTTACGATCTCGGCGGTTCCCTCAAGAATATTCGTCTGTGTCCGTACTAACTCAAAATCCCTTAATACCACAAGTCACTTCGATGTGTCATAAGCCGTGGAGCATAATTAGGAGCAAGTTTAATTTTCTCTAGCAAAAAAAGGAAAATAAGGTCAAGAAATTCCTCAAAGACATGGTAACTGGCCTGACGTCACAGGTGTTCGTAATCACTGCATTCATTTTTATTTAGGATGGAAGCGATGTTGCATTTTCGAAAATGCTATTAGTATTTCGCTATTTATCCCTACCGTTGCATAAGTAACTATACTGGTCTGAGACCTCTCCAAAGCCTTAATGAAAATGCGAACAAACGAAATGCTGAAGCTATCAGCAATGGGTCCAAGACTGTCAGAATTTACGGGCGCTTAAATGCTCGCTCAAATCAAGTGCAAAGGTAAATAAATAATTAAAGCGTTTCGTTGGCTTTCTTCTTTCAAGCTTCACTTCCATAGCTCCTCTAGGCCATCCTCCCACTTCGGTAAGTCTACTTTCAGTACAGATGGTAAAATATTTTATCCCGACGTCACCTATGCAGTTTGGCGGTTGCATTGGATTTAAAGTGTCGCTCGGTTTGGAAAGTGTACTGAAGGAGTGGAACGCGCTGAATTTATATTGCAGAACATTAAATAACTCTCCACGACAAGGCCATCAAGTTTCACCGGCAATAGACGAATCACTGGCCTCAAAAGAGTAGCTTGATGAAAGACAGAGTTTAAATACCGATGTTTCGGTAACGTCTTGCGTCTGCATATCCACAGCTAGCGAGAAGTGAAGGAGGCATCAAGCTCTTGCTTAGTAGAGTCCTTCATAAGTTCTCACTCACAGCTCCGTAACAGAATTCTTCCGTTGGTTTAAGACCTCAAATGTTTCACCTGTTAATAACATCCTGAAGAGCATAAAACTATGCACAAAAATGAGAATACCATTCTGTTTCGACAATCGTTTAATTTTTTACAGGTTTTTCCATATCTGTATAAATGCGGCTAGGTGCTCATTAAGGTCGAGTTAGTTTGCTGGTGTCGTTGATGTAGCGCTTCAAGGATTTTATGAAGACGACAAATTGTGAGTAGAATGGAATTTGCCCACTTGTAGAAGGTTTGAGGCTACTGTCATAATAGTGAGTCCGGTCCGATAAGCGAAGCGGTCCGCGTTCCTCCCCTGCTGACGCATTCAGGGGGAGAATGAAGCACGCTGCTAAAACATTGCAGTGGCACTCTTGCAATTGCTATTCCAACTTTTCCTTTTAAAAATTTCTCCAACCTAATTTGGAGTTTCTTTGCATTTAAGTACCAGCAGTATCTTTAATCGAAGCCGAAAAATGGCCTCGGTATACATATTTGCTGTTGACAGAGATGAGAAAAACGGAGGTAGCACAGTCCAGTCTTATGATGTTATTATCTGTTCTAAGTATCTCGAGTCGGACTTTATTTCGTGTGGCGGTCTTACTTTCAAGTCCCTTTCTTGTTAAAAGCCAGCTACTAGATAGTAGAAATCGGAATTCTTGTAAAAAGATAACAAAAGAATGGCTACGGTTAACCATGCCGCATGTTATGGCAGCTGTAGTCGTGATTGGGTACTTGAAAGAACTTGAATGGTAGTTTTAAGGCTATAGTAGCGATGCTTTTGAAGACGCCACAAGCTGTTGTGTAAGCAAAGCATTTGCACATCATCCTCACTTCGCAACCACACAACAGCTTACTCACTCGCTCACCCCCTCACCCACATTGGCACCGAGAGCCACTCAGCAGTGATGCCAAATCCTGTCAGGCGCGCGCATACACAACCGCTAGAGCGTGACGATGCCGTTGTTCAAGACACCACATTCTGCAATATAAGGTGCTCTCTTCAGCATCATCTGGCACCCACGACAAAGTAAACAGTCAAAGCAGAAAAATGAATGAGGGAAAGACCGTGAACGTTGGCGTTTTCGGGGACAAGGGTAGGTATTTTACATCTCTATTTCGTTTCAAAGGGCTCTATCACTTCACAACGATAGAGCTTGTACTTTTCTATTCCCTAGTCAACTCAAACGCAATGAGGAATCTATTCAGGGGTCTTGAGTGATTGTCAGTTAGTCCTAAAATGGTGAAATTTCAATCTGCTTATCTAATTTAGTGTTTTAGTTAAAGTGAATGTTGTGTGGTGTGCATTTGGTTCAACAACCTCTTCAAGTTCATGTCATTACCCCTTGAAGTAGCACCTAGAAATAGCGTCCCAACAGTAATCCAAGTCACTACCTCAGTCTGTGCACAAGAACGAAACAAGATCTGCAATCTGCGCTTAAGCTCACAGAATTGCATAGATTTTCTTAAGTGCTGTCAGGTCTGACCGGTATCATGAGTAATTGGTGTAGCATTAATAAAAACATTTAAGGAATAAAAATGGTTTTCAATCGCCCTTTTTCAGTTCTTTCGTGGCAATTGCCTTTCAGAAGTATGAATTCCGCGTTCATGCAAGTTATTTTGCAACCTCTGGTGCACTAATTAGTCAGCAAAGAGCAAAATTCTCAACAAGTTCATTAACAGCGGGGAAGTAGGTAACAGTCTGCTCCGTGGAATCTGAAACAAGGCTTAACATGGCTCACCACTTGGCGATATGGTCGAGAATTAACAAACTTTTTTGAAGTCAGTAATCCAAGCCTGACTGATTGCATCTACTCAATGAGCAAAACAAGGCAGGGCATGCATTTCACAGCCCACGTGTTATCACACACCAACAGAGATCCCATTGGTGCAGACGGTTTTGACGACACCCAAGCCTGCCAATTAGGCCCTTCACTTAAAGCACTAAGCTTGGACTTTCGCTCGGATACATTAATTTATTACAAATATGCACACCAAAATAACTAGATTTAGCAATTCAGTCAAATTAACGGAAGGATTCCCCTTAAAAATGTTAAATTTTCCACTTTATGTGTAAGCTAGCCCATAACTTTGACGAGTCTTGGCTTTCTGTCATTGACACGGGAATTTTACTTCCATTCGCCCTTACATGTGTCACATTTTATTGATAACAGACAAATGTGAGTTTCTGCTGTGAAGATTTTAGAATTGAAATCAAAGGCTATTGATGCATAAATTTTGTTTGTGACGGTGAAATTGCTAAAAACAACGAAATGGATAGTGATGTCACTGGAAGTGGAGATTACTCGGATCACGTCATACCCAGCCGTACTAGGCTGTGCAAAGAGCTTAAAGAGGGCGGAAGGGTGGGAGTTTCAGGGGCACCCGTTCCTCTTAATTGGTTCGAGACCTGTTTGTTGGGCACTTCTAAACAGGTGTCGGAAAGACTGCGTTCGTGAGTCGGTTCTTTGATAAGAAGTTCCAGAATACCACCACATCCACTTTCCTCAACATGCCGACGGGCAGTGCGGATGTCTACGGAAATACTGTTCAATTCTCGATCTACGATGTGGTAAGCACGAGTTACTTTATAATCGACCTGTTCAAGTTGGGTAAATTAAGTAACTACCGTGTGTCCTTTGCAAAACAACCATGTGGGTTAGGAAAGTGGAGAGCAGCTGCCTGGTTAAACACAAACTGTATACCCGTTATTCAGATGCAATGTCGTTCACAAAACAACACCATAAAGGAAACTATGTTCAGATTAAAAACATTTTTCACTGAAAAAGTCTTTAAACTAAGTACCTCGTGGCTGTTAAGGAAAAAATCTGAATTAATGAAAATTAAAAATAAAGCTGGAAGACCACTTCTCCTACCTTCATGATTAGAGGCTTAACCCCGTTACTGCTGCCTCCTGTTGTTTGGATAATTTTGGTCCATAGCATTGCTCTTTATTGCTGCGGCACTGCAGCGTGTCAAAACGAATTCGCCCTTTCGAAGGTTGACGGGGCTAGTTTCTTGTCTGCGCATCAGCTAACATCCCCCAAGATACCGCAATGAGACATTCCTGTTGTTATGATATGAGGATAGTGCTTTGGTCATTTTTCGGCTATTAAAGACGCACAAGGCGTTAGTTCCACGTCCTTTTTTTGCGGTTTCGCCTGTAAACAACAATCGTTTTGCAGTCTGAGCTCACCCCCCACCTTTGCATTTTAATTTTGTCCGCTTAGCCAGCCCACTTATTCGAGTAATAATCATCTAAATTGCTGGTTTGGATTTATTGGGGAAAGTTTAGGTTTGCCAGAGCTTAAACGAAACTCAAGGTAAAAGGAATAAAAACCGTATGTCAAAATGAAGCATTTGTATATTTATCTTTGTGTTTATCGCAAATCTCAGAATGCGTTCCTCGTTTTTAGCCGGGTTCACCTGAATACCAGTCGTTAGCGGCTGGAGTCTACGCCGGCATTGAGGTGGCCATTCTCTGTTTCGACGTGACCAAGTAAAACTTAACTGATTTTCTGCCTTGACGCTTGTCAGCTTGATTTGTCTTGTTGACTCGAGTTTTGCTAGTTAAGAATTGCGCGAACTACGACTAGGAATTGTAGGCTGAAAATGCTGAGATCCATTAAATGACCCAATTAAAAGACATCGCAGTGTTGGCCTCTCGATCAGTGTGAATGAAATGGTGGTACATGGCACTGGTCCATTGAGGTAACGTTTGGACTCTGAGACACCATTCCAGACTTGCTACACGCCTCTCCTCAGCACATGATTGATTGTCGGATTGCCCTGCCATGAAGGCGAGCCCTTTGCCGTGCAAAAGCCAAACGCTATATCAGCCTTACAGTTGCTTGCTCCAGTAACATTAAAATGCCAATGAAGTTGCTAGCATTTGGGAAACCGGGCTGCTTTTTCTAATCAACAATGGTTCTGCCAAAATGGAATGTGAATTTGTTTTTAAAGCCGTAAACATTTTCGGATGATAGATTTTAATATCTCCCTGCCGTGTTTACATTTATTACTTGCTTTATCATCTTTGGTTTTGTGCACGAAAGTGGGAAGAGATTTCCAGTTCTTACTTGCTCCAATAGCATAAGCCGAGTTTTATGAAGTTCCACTGCCGTGTACGACCACATCAACAGACGCCATCAGCCAACCTTCTCATATGCCGTGTCCTTCTCTTTTTATCTTTGCCCTGCCATTAACGCCTTGGCTACACACTTTTTTTTTAAATTTTCTGGGCCGGTTTTCAGGCGCAGAGCAGATCCCAATCGCAATTGGGCACTTGTGATCAGCTTTGATACTGCATTGTTCTGTGCCAAAAGATAGACCCTTATTTTCGCAAGCATCAAGTCAATGAAGAGACTTATCTGGCATCAAAAAATGTAGATTGGTTTCAGAGTCAATTAGACCAACTTCGAAAATCATTTTTCCTTCAGCCAAGCATCTTTCGACGGTCTCTCAGCTTGGATTAGTAGAATAAACGCTGGGCTGCCCTCAAAAGGGGTGAAGGTGCTGGTGGGTCTGAAGGGAGACTTGACGAGACAGGTGCAGTTGGAGACTGCTCGCAGCTTCGCGACTCAGAACGGTTACATGTACTTTGAGGCCTCTGCTAAGACCGGTCAAAAAGATGTTAACGAGGTATTCTGCAGGAGTGCTGCCAAGGCGCTTGATATACCGCTGCCACCTCCGCCAGTAAGTGCAACAACCTTCCTCTGCTCCCACGCTTCAAATCCTCAAGATACCACATCAGCTGCTCGTCCCTCAAAACAGCATTGAAATCCACGATGCTTTTCCTAAGTGTTCTAGAATACAAATGTAGCATCTACTTAAAGTAACACTTTACAAGATCATTTGAACTGCATGCCCAAGCACAGTCGTATTTCTGGAGGGCCTTAGCGCCTAGAGTACAGATTGTTCCCTCTTCCTGTAGAAGCATCCAGTAAGCCGAAGCACACCTTTACAAAACATAATTATGGGACTTGAATCTAGTAAGGTCGTATTTACTAAGCGCATATTCAACACACAGCTCGGAGTATCGGTCAGTCTTCACATTTAAGTCAAGCTCCATCCCCTACCGGGATAAGAGAAGAAATCTTTCGAAGTCGTGATCAGATAATTAAAAAAGACTTCTGTGTATGGTCTTCTTACTGATATAAATTGGTGAGCGATGGAGGTGAAGAAGGTGTGCACCAGCATGACGACTCAAGTAACTTGGTGATATCGGTCATGTGAGCATAATGCCCACAGACTGACCTTGGCCTTAGAGTGATTGCACTGAAAGTACATCCATATTCTTAATCAACCAATCCAGAGAGGAAGAACGAAACCCAATTCTCTCGTGTGTCAAATTATACCAAGGGTGTCTATTCTTCAGGGAATTTAAGAGCAACCATTTGTCTGGTGATGTTGACATATCCGGTCGACTCATCTCTTCAATAGTGAACTTCTCAGCCTAAAATGTTAGTTATTTGTGGCATAAACTATTGGCTGACAAACTTATCCTCTAGTGGGAATTATTTAGTGACTATTTTCCATACTAACTCAGCTCTAAAGGCGAAAAGAACCTCGAACTCTGGTGTTTATAAGTAGGAAAATTTTTTGGCTTTGAATTCCAGGCAAAGAAGTGGTTAGATCTTTAAACTATGATCTTGGATGCTGATTTCGGACCACTCCTGGTTCCTAATTCCAAAGACAGAGCTCTGTTTTTGAGGCATCGAACTATTATGCATTAAATAGCCGTACAACATCTATCGAATGCACGCAAGAGTGTAATCTACGCCTCCTTCATCGTCTGATTTACTCATGTAGTCACGTGATCCATTTTCAGTGTCTAATTGTATTATTTTCTCATAATTTTTAGGAACCCAAACCAAAGGGATCGTCCTGCTGTTGCTTTATGTAAAACAAATGCAAAACTTAGACTTTAATATTCTCTTACAATTACTATTCCACTGCGTCATCATTAAAGAGTCCTTTGAGAAGCTGCACCTTTTGGTACACTGGTGACAGGGTACGACCTCGGTGCCTTCGCATGCAGAATGCGCAATTCCATGCGAGTTTCTCTCAGACCGTCAGTTGTAGAAGTAAAGGCGTTTGTGGGTGTCAATAATAGGACTGTGATGAGATAAGTGCACTTTCCACTGGTGCGTAAGTGAAAGGCTATGATTGTATCCCTTCGCTAATGCCAAAGGTGTCAAAGAACCCGCTGTAATGTTTACTGCTCACGTGATGTGACTGAGTCTAGCCATTTGTTGTTCCATCTAATTATGCTAGCCCGTCTTATCACAGCTCCCGATTGAGGATGTGACCTACTCTAAAGTGAAAATGGGGGACTAAAATGTGCCTTATAAAGCATATTGACAAGGCTGAACATTTATTTTTACTGTGATGGTACACGAAGGACTGGTGACGGCTAAAATGTCTCAACCAGCCAAAAACACGCTGTTGGGAAATCTTTACCTGTGAAATGCATTAGAAAGGAAGTATATCGGTTTGAATCAACTGCGTTTCCTCTGATCTCCTTCATTAGACTTGATCCAGCCATGCGAATCACAATGACTTTGAGCTAACTCAATCGAGGTTGTCATTCTCCACGCTTTTAAAAGCTGGATGAGATAGCTGTTGGTAAGCATTTGAAAGTTACAAATAAACTTGTGAACATCAGTTGCAACACTGAATGGGACTTGTGTGTCGGATACACAAAGGTTGAGAAAGCAAAAGCGCTGATAGCACTACCTTTAATTCTACTCCTTGAGACCCAATTCCTCTCCTCACCATTACTCCGTCCTTGAAGTGCTTCCATCAAAATGTCAACTGTACGAAAATGTGCGTGCGTGCGTACGTACATGGATTCGCGATGGATGTGCTCTCCAATTTCTCTGTTGGCCAATGGTCCCCTTAGGGTGACCGGCGGTGACAGGCGATTCGCCTTTATGCTACCGTTAGCCATTGAATAGGGCTAAGTCCTTTTGCCCATTGGCACAGTGAGGAATTTCTAAAGCGACATTTATGTACGACTTGCCGTTTCAAAACAATTGGTAGGGTTTCTGAAAACTACCAGTAAATCTATGTCTAAAGTGTAGCCCAAATGTTAGCAGTATTGAATTGTTTGAACCATATGAAAGCCCTCATTTGATACCGTAGACTCTTTGGATGTTTTCACTACGACATTATATAGGCTCCAAAGCCTCTGAAAGGGTTTATCATTTATTGCTTGACGCAAATTCTAAGCTGGTTTTGTCTACATGAATTAAACATGGCAGGTTTTCAATTACGTGAAGTACGATTTTGCAAAAAAAATCTATCTCTTTCTCTTACTGGATTGCATTTTGTGACATCCCTTCATTTGCTTAGTCGCTGGTCCCCATTGATAACGGTCGCCTTAAGGTGGCAAATTTTTTAAATCCATTCTCAAAGCCGTTGTTTTCGATGTTGTTCAAACACCAACTATATTTCCTTCTCTAGTCGTTTCGGAGTATAATTTTCACCCGTTCTAAAATGGGATCACAAGCATATCCATCCCATATGCAACTAAGCTTATCTCCTTAATCTGAACCCTAAAAACGGAAATCATCAATTCTTGAACAGTGGTGCAATGGGTTATGTGTTTGACTCCCAATTTTGGATGAGGAGTCATTGGGGGCTCCACCACTTTACCTTTGTTAGGTGAAATGGCCTCCAAGCCCTGTCACTTAACCCACGTCCTACTCCATGTCAAATGTATTTGTAATGCCCAACCGTTATGCCTTATTTCGTCTTTGATGAAGTCTTGAGACGTAGCAATGGGACGGCAAGCAGTAATAAGTGTGCAATAAAATAGTCATTACCCCTTCTGATTAAACTATAGAGAGAGGACTATATGGTCTTTCTTTGTGCCTCACCTTTAAAGGGACAAATTATTTTAATAAGTTATTTTGCATCAAACATAGTCCCTTTTATTGGCTATATGAGCAAGTGTTAATTCAGTGTTGGACAATGGAACACATTGTGTTGCCAGCAGTAGGTAGAACCTCAACTCTTTTGTTAAACCACTCAACATCGCAGGCTATCCACGAATAGCATGAGATAATGCACCATTTGTCACCCTAACTAAGAATTCTTGTTTGCATATATGCAACCAGCTTTACCGGTTCACTGCCTGCAGCAATAAACTAATGTCGAACGCTCTTAACCTTTTAAATTGCTCAATTGGTTTTAAAGGGATGGGACGTTTCTGTATCATCGCATCCTCTGTCATTTCATTTATTTATTCATTTTTATCGCAAGCCTGATTAAAGTAGCTCCACACTTTTCCCTTTATTTGTTCCAATTCAGCCCCTCAATAGTTCAAAATGTTGACGATCTGTACGCCTGACCTGGGCCTCCCAGCTACCGTGTCGACATCCACGAGCATATCCCTCGGCCTACCGCCATGGGCAACGACAATACCCATGCTAAACCGGCCCTAATCCGAAGACAGCCTTTTCGTTTGCCCACCTGCTTTAATTTCTGACCACAATTTGCTCACGTTCCCAAAAGTGGCCTTGAAGATTGCAAGCATTTCGCCGTAAGAAGAAGCATACTTCAAAATGTTTAAATGTCAGGTGTGAAACATTAAAGGAATGCGATTGTGGCTTTGGCATTAGTGTAAGAATAGCTTTACTTTAACGTCCGAAATATTAGTCCGATGATAGGAATTAACCAAAGAATTTACACTTTGTTATGTTCTGTGGAATTCTTCTACTTCAACGGATGCTGACTCGCGATCAACCAAATGTTGCGCATCTCGCCCGACAAATTAAATTGGAGACCTCTAGTGTTGCGTACACTTTACAATTGTTTTAATAAGTGCCACTGTAAATAATATCATCATCATTGGCCTAATTCACAATAAAAATTTGACGTAAATTTACTATTTATCTAATCGTCACTCTTTCGTCACAGGAGCCAATCATAATAATTATTGAGTTAATTTAAAATCTACTTCAGAAAAAAGCCACTCATTTTTAACTGTGCACAATTAAAGTTATTTGCCAAATATGCAGTCACCGACTAAAGGGTAGCCGTGGGGTTACCGAAAGCCAGCTCTTATATCTCACACACACACGCATATGCACAAGCAAGTGAGGGTAAAAGTGGACAAATGAACCCATGAATATGGGAAACGTATTATGGAGACAAAACGATTCCTGAACCATGGACGACCGTGCAAGCAGGCGGTAGGCGGGCTACGCGCAAGGCCTGGAACGTGCGCACCTTTAGTTTGCATCGTATCGACCAGTTCAGAATGCATGCCGCAGGATGGCACGCTTTCATTGGTCGCCGTGGTTACCCTCATTTTTGCGGACGCGGTGATTGGCCGATCCGATTTAAGCTGAAATCGGAAATTTTCAGTCAGTTTCCATCCCCCTTTCCTAAATCAGCCGGGCAAGAGCCATAGAACTGCTCAAACGCAACAATTATGACATCATTGCAGTCACGAACCATGGAGTTTTTTTCTCTGTAGAAGTTTCTTCACTGCGGCGAAATGCCTCTTTTTCTTTCTGACAAATTAGATATTCCGCTAAAACGTGTATTTATTTCTATACCCCTTTTTACGCTCTTAATCATTCCTATCCACTGCAACAACCGAGAGCTTTCTCGTGCTGAGTCACGACGTTTCCTCTCTCTCATCACTAAGACTCTTCATAGTCCAACCTCAGGATGCCCTGATTTGTTGATTTCTGCGGAGTCAGAAGCGAATCAACTTGCGCTGAAAAATTACTCCTACCTCTTGCCATTTAGGCCGAGCTATGCTGACTTTCTACGTACTATTATCACGCCTGTGGCACTCCATAACTCCTATCGGCGGGATATTGTTCGAGCGGCCTCTCTGGCAGAACTTATAATCAATTGGCTCTCTCTAAAGGGCCTAACATTGGCTGAAGGGACGTCTGGAAATGTGGAATTAGAAACCTTCTTGGGACCTCTGATGCGATCTTTTACGCAGACATCATCTTACTACTCTAGGAGTAGTAGGAGAGGCGGACGTGAAGACGAATCCGTGGTGAATAGTGTGACGATCTGCATGGGTAGCGGGCACCTCATATATGTGGAAAAAACGATTCCGAACATGGAAAGCTTTGGTTCCAGACCGCCAAGTAACCTCTGCACACTCATGACTTTGATATTGGAGGGTTCAACTCTCAAACCTATCTCCTCGACCATTCAGGTGGTTGGAGTGTGGGCACCCCTTCACTGCATTTCCGATATGTCTGTGCCCGGAAAAAAAATACCCCTTCATTTAATCATTCCGATTCCACATGTGAAATCAGCAAGGTATGCTGCTCTTATTTAATGGAAAATCTCATTCAAAAATTGGGTCGTTGCTTCTACTTTTTCTCTACTTCTCATCACCTTTCCCACCACTTTTTGAAGATCTTGAACAATGGCAACCCCGCTCCATGTTGCTTTCGCGAAAATTCTCATCTTGCATTTTAATCACTTATTATTCAACAACATCTTTACATTACTTCTGTGTTCCTAAGTGAGAAAATCGGAGAATGGTAGGATATAAAGTAGTTCTTGATGATAACATAGAATTCCAGGCCATGGGAAAACAAATTCTCGAACTTATCGATGCATGCGAAATCTCTTCTACTTGGCCGTTTAATTATCTGCAATGCCATTCTCGACAGATGTCTACCCTTGCAGAGGTGCTGTTTTCCGTCCATTGATTTGCCCTTCCTGAACTCAAAAACCTTTGTTCACATATGCAAAACGTGGCCTCCGCCATAGTTAGAGCCAGCTGTTCTCATCTCTGTAGATTGTGTTGAGTCGCTTTGGGGTTCGTTTAAAAGTGGTAGAAAGGTGTTACGGCATACGATTTTTCAGGGAGCTTGTTTTCCTCGCAGATAGGTGCTTTGCATAAGTAACAGAAGAGATTACTTGACATTTGGAGTCCAGTTATCGCTGTAAGTTTATTACCCAATGAATACGCGTTAGAGTACGTTTTGTTGTTTGGGCTCGAAAGTGAGTTGGTGTCATACCACTTTATGCGTACATTCCATGAAGTGATGTTTTTTGTCCTTACCGCTGTTTTGCTTAAGCTTATACACTGCGTCTGTCTTGGTTGGGGCTCTTGTCAACAGATTCCTAACATAGAAGTGAAACACGTCGGAATGTATTTTCATTTGTTTTTGGATAGCATTCAGCTGTTGTTCTCATTAAACGAAAAACCTCTTTTTTGGCTTTCAGAAACCAACTATGCCAATTTACGATCGCGATTATTTCTTCAGAATACCTCCGATTAACATTTTTTACACCTTTCGTAATGAATGTTACCTCATCTATTTTGGACAAGCATTGATCTTTATGTCCACATGACTCCGCTCCAGAAGTTTCGATATGTCGACGTAGACAGGCCACAATGCGAGACGTTTCAGTGGAATGGGATTCAGTGGTAGGGCTGCCGACCAGGCTCATGGAATAGTGCTTTTAGAAACCGTGTTCCATAAGTAGCTGGATGGCTTTGCTGACTCACCGGGGTAACGCGCGAAGGGAGTGTTTTACGGATAGTCCATATCAACAGACACCTTACTCCCACAACCCTCTTTTTTCTTGTGAACCGACCCTTCTGTCAGTAGGTTAAATTGTCGTCGGTTAATCTCAGAACACTTTCCTCTGCATGCAACAGCTTGAGCAGTACGCTTAATATGCGCTCTTCATCTGTTTGAAATTAAGGGAAGAAAAATCCTTGGTTTTGCATGCGCATGGTGAAATGGTCAGTTCAGTCTGAGAAAATCGACTAGTAATTCCAAACCTGCATAACTTTCGTTATTAATTATGTGCAAGCTGAATACGGATAATCTTCTCCTTCTTAACACGTGAAATTTCTTTCTTAACTGCCATCATCTCCAACGCACTTGAACGTGACGCGACACGCGACCTAGTGGACCATTGTTTTGTGATCTGCTTTGCTCTTAAACCTAGCACTTGGTACATCGTGTTCGCTACCCAAAGAATGTAAAGGTGATTTTTTTGTTAACTCCTTGCACTATCGAATAGACTGGATATTGCTTGCATCTAATTTGTTGGGCTGTTACCATCAAGGCTCCAGAAGTAGAGTGAAGAGACGGTCGTACAAAGTGCCATTCTCAACTTCTTTTGCTTTTTCGATTTAGTCTGGTTTTTGAGTTCGACCTCCGCAACCTAACTCTTGATCTCTGTGCTGCTGGGCTTGACTACTGCCGTCATAGTACGACGCAGGTGGGTATCTTATCTATTCGTTCAACTGTTTGAGGACGACCTTAAGTAGGGTTTAAAATCATATTGTGATTAATGCTAAGCATGAGCTTTGCCATCTCAATTGGACTTTGTAGTGCGTCTACCGCCAATACAAGGCATGGGCCTTCGATGTTGCCAATTACATCTGTCAATGCAAACCCGGTTTTTACACGGATCGGCCTGAAAATGTAGGCGTCTGGTATTTCAGTATGTACTCAACAGGACCATACTATATTCCTTAAGGTCATTTCTATAATCGGCAATTTTTATGCCGCCTAGAAGAAGGGTGATTGAGTTGGATTGTGTTCGGTCTAAAAGTAAACAACCAATAAGTTTTCTGAAACTTTTTTCAGTAGTACATAGTTAAATGTTACTTCAAATTGGGTGGCTGTTTTCCGTCTACTTTTACTCAACCTTAAATATTGAGAAAAATTTCTCCAACTTCAGTGCCTACGGAATGAGCACCAATCAGTTCCGTCTTCCCTTCTACGAGGAGGATGATGGCACCTTAACTCTCCCCTTGCCTATACTTTTTAGTCATGCGTAGTCATGTAAAGTAATGCTGAATTTGTCGTTCATATAACAGCTAAGTTAGTTGAGAATAAGTGAAATGGTACGGGGGTGGCAGACACTGGAGGTCCCGCTTTTCGCAGACAGAAACATGATTGCTATCGCAAATCTCAGCTACTGTCATACTTTAAATAAGCTTTTGGACTTTAATCTTGTTTTTGTTTTGTTACCACCTACAATTACCGTTAAAAGGCTGCTACTTTTGGTAGCAATTAGTGCCTAAAATCAGATAATAGTTTAATTGGCATAAAGTTAGGTGAATTAGTCTTCCTATTTGTTGAACGACAGGGCTACCCAGCGGAGCTGTACATGCAAGAGACGCAGAGCAGTGCCAGCGGTGCTATTAGTGGGGAGAGCGAGAGTCGCAAAGCCAAAGGCCTATGGGACCGCATGAGCTGCAAGGTTTGCCCACCTGACTGTCCCAACTGCACCTCAAGCACACTTTGTGGAGTAGAATACAATATGCATCTCCTACGCGGCATTCCTTTGGCCGTGCAGACTTTCTCAATCACCACCACCCTCCTGCTTGGGGTCCTCACCTTTCGCCTCCGCCGCACTAGGGTAGGCGTTAGGTTCCACGGCCTGTACTTTCTCCCCTTCTCTAAGCTTCTCTTCTCTAGGCGTGTTTATGAGGACAGGTAAACCGTTGTTGCTGATGTCATCATCCTACGTTCTGAGCTATTGTTAAAGTTTGATGCAGAACTACAACTTCATTCGTTGGTCTACACATAAGACCTCTATTTCTCTAGTTCTCCTTAGGGGAAGTTGATATTCCCTTCTACTTAAATTACATAGTCAAGATTCCAGTGGCAAATATCGGCTTCTACTTAACATAGCCCGACAAATCTAAGTTTAATTTGTACTAGTTTTGGTAATGACTTTTGCATCATTTTTGAAGGGTGTGTTGGGAAAGTGGGAAGTAGGAGCATGATCTACGAAAGCAACGTAGGGAGTGCTTTCGCACAAATCCCTCATTTCTATTGAGGTATACCTGCCTCCGACTTAAGGTATTCTCGCTCTTCATGAGTACACTCACGTATATCACTCGGGAACTTACAGCAATTTCATCTTTTCCTCTGTGAATGGTTGCCAATGCCTACTGCTTCCGCTTTGATCCTCCTGCCCAAACACAGCGCAACGCCCACCTTAATACCATTAAACCGTGGCGTTACTGATTTTGCTGGAAAGTAAATTCTCTAACCTAGAAGTAGCATTAAACCCTGACATGTTTTGCTTTGCGCTCCTACTCTTTCGCAAAGACATTGTCTCCTGGTTTTTGCTACAATGCTTCTCCTCCCCAAGGCAAACAATCTTTATGTGCTCGCAAGATGACTCTACCCATTCGTGAAACCCTATTCCAGTAATTTCACTTTTATCCCCATTGCCAGCGTCCGGCATTAGACGTATTAAAGCGTGCAGATGGTAGTTTAAGGAAAATATATGATTGCACCTAATGATGTGATTTAAATAAAACTTTAATAAGCGAAAATTGTACCGCAATCCAGCCTCATATTTTCGGAGCAGGCCTACCAGTTATTCTTTAGTTTAGGGGTTGCCCACAACGCAGACACAAAGTCAAGTCTTGCCAGAAATCTTAACAAGTGTACTCATTTGCCACATTGATTTTACGTTTTCGTCCTCCATATGACTGAAGCAATGAATTCATTAGTTACTTACTATCATTATTATTTATTATCCTTTAGTCACAAGTATGTTTTATTAGACATGGACTTATAATATAAGTTTTCATAACGCCATTAATTAAATTGGCAAATTTCTCGCAAACTTTGTTTGGCATTCCGAAGTTAACAATGATTTGTTCAAAGCAATAAGTTAAACCTGTTTTCTTGACTTCTCAGGTATTCAAAGCGGCTAACTGGAAGTTTTTGGAAATATTTCTTCTTGGTGTCGTTCTCCTTTACTCCACGGTGAGCCGCATTTCCAATGCTACTAGTGGCTACTCCCTCTAGTCTCTCAACAAAGGCTAGTTTTGCTTTCAGCACCAAAGAATGAGCAATCTTTCCTCTAAAATCACTTCCATGTAAAAATAAGTGCTGTTCCACATATTTTTTGACTACTTGGATTAAAATTTCTGTTGTAAGAGAATGATGATTCATAAGTTCATACAAATACCGATGCAGGAGTAATTATTTTTTCCTCACGTTATTTTTTTTGCACACGTATTCTTTTGATCGTTTTACCATCTGCATGGAATGCAGAATCGCCCTTATTCTGAAATGTCGCAGGATGCTAGATCAGTCTACACTTCTGGACTTGATTCTCTTACGTAGTGCCATTCAACGTTAATATTGCATATTTCTCCCTGATTGACATCATTTTCAAGACAACATTTTAGATGTTGATCCATTTTCCTAAATTGCCATTTTACATTGTTTAGGTTGACTTTATATCGTTTTAACGATGTCACAGGATTTTTGAGTATGAGAAACCTTGTCATTATTCATTTGCTAAGGTAAATTCCCTCTACAATCACTGTTCGAAGGAAGGAAAGCACTTAAGTTTTAGACAAGGATTTTGTGCCTCGATAAGCGTTACATGCACAAATCACAAATTAATGTTATCTGACCGCAGGCGCCCAAACCACACAGGAAATCAGTTCCGCTGCCTGGTCCAGATAGTTACACCAAATCTACGTCTCTCTCCCTCTCTCGCGCTCTCGGATTCTGTTGCATAAGCTAGAATGCATTAGTCTACTTACTATTAGTTTGCATTTATTCCCCTTACTCATGGTGCTTTAACATTATTCGGTGTGGTGTTTTGCTCCGGAATTCATCACCACTTTATGTGTGAACTCTACCAATTCAAGTATGAAGTAAATGTTAAAAAATCGAGAGATTTACACAATCGTTTACAACATTTCGTAGTTTACCACTGAAAATGGAATATTGTTTGTTAAAAATTGGCTATTTGCACTTACATTTGCTACTTATTTATTCGAGGAATAACTGTGTTATCTAAAAGTACCTATTTTGAAATGTTGTTTTCACCGCAGAGCATTGTGATGTACTTTCAAGCGAGCAGCTCCACATGCATTCTCCTGCCATGGTTTCGGGAGGTCGGATTCGCCCTTATGTATGGTGTGCTGATTGTCAAGCTGTATCGGTACGTAGCCATTCCAGGATGCCCTTATTTCATTTCGATAAATGAACACCCTTCCAAGGAAATTCGCTTATTTCTAAAGCAAAAATACCTTGTTACCCCCATAATGCTTCATCTTAGCCAACATTTCTGGCCATGGGTATGGCACATCGGATATGGCGATTTCCTAGTACTGCAAAACCTCCAAATTCAGTAGTTTTTTGCTTTGTTCCAGGTCATAATTCTTATTTCCTGTTTTCCACAAAAACTCCTTTCGGTTTAAGTGTCTGTTGACAGCGGTTCTACTATTTCAATACTGAGTACGCAAAATTGAGATCCAATCACACCCCCTACCCTTCCTTTTACCAGGGTGTTGATCTGCTTCCAATCACGTAAAGCACATCGAGTGCATGTACGTGATAAGGACCTCTTCAGATATCTTGGCTGCTTCGTGGCTATTGTGATTGGTTACATGCTGGCATGGACAGCGGCCACTCTGGATTATACACGATTCCGCAGCCTTGCGGGTGTGCCCACTGTACCCACCACCGCTACTCTGCTTACAGCTCAGCAGTCCACTTTCGATAACATTCTGGTGAAGGGTCGCATTCAAATGATGGTTCAGCGATCCCCACACTCTACTCCAGTACCACCTCCACCTCAGTCACCCTCATTCACCCACAACACCACCTCAAGCTGCGCCTTCTGTTCCAACACCACTGTAACTAATCTAACCTCAGTTAGGCGAGACGGAGAGGAACCGTCGATGGTGGAATTGGCACACCTGGGAACAGAGCAGCAACAAGAGGGAAGGAAGGAAGGTGAGAAGAATTCCAACTCTGGAGTACGCCACCAATACTTTCGTGTTTGCCGCGCCATGTCCTGGGACATTGTTGTTCAACTCGGTAAGTTTAGATCGGAGTAAAGCTCCAGCAATAATGCCCCAAAGTAAATTCACTGAATAACTAGGTCTCGGGAAGAGTGAAATATTTGCATGTTATCCTAAATACGCTTCGATGGTAAAATAACGACTTAAAGAATCTCATCAGCCTAATGGCTTCTGGATGAGCACAATTTGCGTATCCAGCATTATGCATACAGTTAGATTTTTTCATTAACTGAAACTCTCTCAGCTGGTTGTTTCAGGTGAAATGGCAATTCTTCTTGCCGGTGTCCATTACTGTCGCCTTATTTGGTCTGCGCCCTCAGAATACAACGAAAACCGATGCATTACAATCGTCCTCCTAACTGAACTCGTTGGCTCTGGGACCCTTTACCTGACTCGGTAACCTATTTGCTGTGGAAATGGCTCTGATTCTTTACGAACACGATTCGGCTAAAGCTGTTTTCCACTTTTAGCCACTTCATTTGGTACTCTACACACCCAGACGTCATGTACCTTATATATTTTGTAAGGTGCCATTTAACCGTCACCGTGAATATTGCGATTATTTTCGGCCCTAAGGTAAGCGTTTTAACGTTCAATTAAGGCGCCGTCCTTAAAACTTTCACTCACCACAATTTTGTTCTTTTTGCACATCATCGCTTGTTGATTAGCCTCTTGACTCCATCAGTGCTTAAGGAAAGTCGAATGTAGTATGTCGAATTTGATCTCAACTACTTTGTGCAGCCTACCCTCCAAAAGGACATTCGAGATACCACTTGCGTACCAGAATCAATGCAACATTTGGCACTGCGATCTGTCATATCTCTTATAAAATTCGCTTTCTAAAATCCATATTTCACAAAGTATATGCTGTGAAGTGGTGAGGAAGTATAGTATTGGTGCCAAGTGTGTACTTCTTCTTGGAAATTGCAGTTCTGGTACATACATAGACCCCCCTCTCCACAAGTAGGGGGCATGGTTGTGGGAGTGAGTGGAGGCCGGCGAGGCATGGTGGGAGCCGTTCCTGGGGCGTCGGCGGCGCCTCATTTAGTTCCCTCTAACAACAAACTCCGTCTCGCCTCCAACGGCGAACTCGATCTTGCTGACGTCAATCTCGCCGACATGGATCCCGAGGTGATTCGGGTGAGTTGACATTTGGCACGAATACCACCCATTGGACGGTTAATCACGGCTGTAATAAACCCCATATTTGTGCCATATATGCCCTTTCAGCGGGAACTGAAGCGCCTCTATACGGCCATTGAGATCTACAAGACCAAGGCCATGCGTCGTGACAATCCGCATATTAGTAAAAGGCGCGGTGGACGCAAACAGCGTCGGTGAGTGGCACTGTGTGCGTAGTAAGACCCTCTTTCTAAGTCTCTTCGCCTTCTCCACCCTCCTCCTCATCCACCTGCCTACTTTACCTTGGACTTGAACATCCAAATCTAAGACCAACTTCTCAATTCGAAAACAGCTGTTTTGTGAAGTTAATGCTTTGTTCTCTAACCAGTGCGTGGGCCGTGTGGCTTAGTTTAATTAATGCTCAGACGCAGACTTTCAGCCATGCCTAGTTGGGCAACGTTTGCGGGCACTGGTGTTAGCATTTCAACCAAAGCATTGCTTCCATTAGTCAAAGTTGACATCTTTGAGGAATGTCAAGATATGTTACTTTTGCTCAGAAATGGTGATACTTCCCCTACCGCATTTGAGAACAATGGTCTACAAGTTTCGAAAGACACCAAACAAGAATCTCAGTTCTAGTGCTAAGCACCGCCTGTAGTTTACAGGATAAAGTAGCTTCACAGCCACCACGATCTGGTACCGTAAGTAATTTAGCCAAACGGGACTTACAATAGTCTTTGCTTACCCAAAACGATTCGTCCGTTCAAAAGGCTCGCTATTACGTCAGAACGTCAAAAATAAATATTTACAATGTGCAGAAAGCCAAGCAAACACCTTTCAAAAGGGAGCTGATCGACTCTCACGACTGACTTATTAATCATATCGTCGGAATTAGTGGTAAAGTGCATCTTTTCATCACTTTTAGATTTTCGCTTCAGCCTTTTCATAAGAAACACCACGGCAGTGGTATGGGCGATTGCGGATCAGGTTACCAGGGCGACGTTAGCACAACAAGTAACATTGGTGGTGGTGACCGTAGTGTGATGCGCTCAGGGACAAGTGGTGGGAAAGGTGCCTTGTTGGGCAGTTTGATGGTAGATGAGGAGACTTCACGAGTGTCCGAGGGGTCCCTCACCAGCCTCGTCGACGCTGCAGACCGACGCTTCGTCTCGCAGCAGGGTGTCAGCGGGTGCATTAGGTCAAAGACCCAGCCCTCCCCGCAAGAATACGGGCGCAGCCGAGAGACGACAATCTGTGGCAGTGAAGGCGCTAGCAATGGTTGAGTCGTGCTTCCTTCGCTGTCCCGTCCCTTCTCACACTACTTCGTTCCTCTTCCCTCACAGAAACCACCTCTTCCACCCCTGAATCATGTACACTCAACCCGCACCGGTGTCTCCTTTTGATCTTTTCGTCCCAGTGCCGTAGTTTCCCTCCGGTTCCTTAGCCCTGCCTTCAAGTGTATACAAATCGAATAAATTTGTCAACTAATCCAGATATATTTGACGCCACCCCACTTCGTCGCCACCTATAAGCATAATAGTAACCAGTCAAATGCGTATCCTAAGAGTTGATACCACTAGAAATTGAATTACTAAGTCTACCATCCACATGTGGAGCGCCAAACCATGCACGCGCGCGAAGCTATGCTTCAATAAACAAACATTACCAGAACGTAGCCCTTCCCAGGTGGAATGTCTGGAACAGAGACCTCCCGGAACCTACTAGCGGAGCAACTCATATTGTTACACAATCGCAGTCAACCTTTGGATGTGTTAACTCTACCCTGATGACCTCGTTCATTACTGTTTAAAAACGCAGTAACCTCGTCTGCCCAAACCCAAGAAAAAGTTACTTGCCCGTTTCAAAATACACAAAACATACAAAAACACTCGACAAGACAGAATACTAAGAGAATCTAAGTTGGTGTTCGTAGTAATCCTCGCAGGAAAACCAGTCAAGATCAAGATTTTGAAATAGGACTATAAAACACCAAAAAATTCAAACTAGGCAAAATAACGCAAACAGAACCGAACATGCAAACAGTTAAGCTTTTCCTGAAGGAAATAAACAGGATCTAAAGTTGTTGATGGGGAATACACGGAAGAGCCAATCTCGACCGGACATTTTATGCAGCTCAATCGCCCTTGAGGCTGCCTGCATGACGGCGGATCCCGCAGTCTCAAACTTGGGACAAACTAGCTCAACCTATAGCGACAAATAAGCAGATGGAGGCCCAACATACCTCATTGAAGCAAGCATTGCGTCTGCGCTCCAAAAATCCGAGCTTATTCTTGAAAAACTTCAGGCTCGGTTCATTGTCGAGGGAAACTTTGGCTACGACTGCAGTTACACAGCTCCCAAAATAGTGTTCAGTATAAAGTAGCATACCAGCCAACGCCTGAGTAGCCAAACCTTTACCACGCGACGAGACCTCGGCAATCATTACAGACACTTCACCTATGATGGAACCAAGAACAACCAAGTCACAACTCGCACACAACGTTACCACCATCAGTAATACTTTCTGCCTCAGTTGTCAGGGTTAATGTACTAACGTAGAATAAGGCCAAATCGGATCTCTACACCCCAGAGTCCGCATACACTACCAGGGACATCGAGTAACACATAAATGGAGCTCGAAAAAAACCAATTTTGATGAAAGGAAATGATAGACAAACCCTCGAATGCATCGTCACCTTCCGATTCAGAATCAGGAATAAGGTAAAAGTTGACGTCTCCGATCATAGCACCAACCTCAGCTTCGCAAACTTCCCGATCCTGCATATCAACGACAGAATGCAATGTCGGCAACTCCACCTCGGGAATAGAGACAGAAGAAGGACGACCAAGAATCGACAACCTCGACTTCTCTAAAAGGATGAATGTGACGCGATCCCCCCCGGCCAACCAGCTCTTTTGTTGTTCATACTCCTAAAACGAATTGACGGAACAGCAAGACCACGCGCTCAATGCGACCACAAAAACAGCCAATCCAACGAATTTCATCCCCGACAGGTCAGAGCCCCTAATTGAAACAAAGGCCACCAAGGACAATTATAGTATCTGCAAAGTAACCGATATCTAACAAAAAAGCCGAACACTCGCCCATACCTCACTACCCTTGAAAACAAGAATTGTAGGGCTGTAAAGTTCACACATATTTTACAGCCCAACAATCTACCGGAGTCGATTGAGCTGTGCATCAAAAAATGACACCTCACCCAGAACTCCGATAATTAGCAAATGGATATCCCAAACTACCTCCTCTAAGCTCAAGGGTTCGGACGCGGTGAGGACTCGGAGCTCCCCAGTTTGCATCCATCGATGGTACTTGGGAACATGACCGACCTCGTACGGTACCAAATAGATGTCAGGAGTTTCGACACAACAGGTTTGCAGCACCTATAAAGATGACGGTAACTGCGCCCAAAGACCAAAGCACAGAACTCAAGCACCTTTAAAGAGTTTATTTGTTTACAAACACCGATTTAAGTCTTTGTGGCCCGCACGTAGATCTGTTGAGCGTGATGACTGGAAATCTGCCTTAGAGTACCTATTGAGGAACTACAAATTCTAAGACATTCATTACCTTGATTCTTCATTTCGTTAAGCGCTGCTCGAGCCAAAGAAACGCGAATCTTGAGGCGCTCAGACACAGAGGAAGGAGTAATCAATCGACATTGAGGGATTTCCTTGAGGAACTTCTCGTAGGTAGCCTGATCAAACAGGCACATGTTGTTTAGCTTGTCCCTGACCTTTCCCTTCGACCACTTTTTCTTCTTAGCCTTGCCGCTGCCATCCTTCTTGGGTTTCGAGGCCTTTGGATCCTTCTTTGGGGCCTTGGCCGCTGTTTTCGGTGGCTAAAATAAAAAGCTCTTCAAAATACATCCTCCAAAGACCGAAAAACAAAACCACGAAGCCCATACCATCTTTACAGTGTGAGACGACAAACCACAAGCTGGTATAAACAAATTTAAAGTGGTAGTTAAAGTGCTTTAAATAACAAAATTTTTTCCTATTTAGAAGCGATGCAAAAGACTTAATTTTTTAGCCTTCCACTGTGGTATTGAACTTTGGCATTGAACTTAGTCAGAATTATCGCGTGCATTGCAGCGAAAAAATTAAGGAAAGCCTGTTACTTATATTTATATTTAATGTTACAAGTTTAATTTCGCAAGATTATTTGGTAAGTCACAGAACATGCTATTTCGGACTTTGAAAGGAACGATGCGTAGCGCAGTTTAACCTTTCGTTTAATAGGAAAAGACAACTGACACAAATAATTGCTTATATTTGGATAAAGTGATTAAATTAGGGCTCTAGTGTGATTATAAGGCACGCTTACTATGCAGCGGGAGAGGTTCGTTAAAGTAATTCCATCACGCATGCATTGGGATGGTGCGGACTTCCGAGACCTTCCACTAAGCAGGAGGGAGCATTACCTTGGGACTGTTGCATATTTCCTAGATGAACGCTTGTCTCTTAGGCCAGTCGACTCGTACAAGAGGAAGACGGATAACAAGATAACCACCAGGTAATCGGGTGACCACATAAACAAAGCATTACAACTGGAACTCAAATAGAGATGAGACCACATATGAGGTATCTGAGATTGTAGCAAAATATAAAAAAACGTTTATCACGCAGCTCTAATACACAGAATGGCTCGGATAATGTCGTGCGTAGACCACAGCGCACTATGAAATGCGTTTTGATGATATTAATTTATGTGTATCAGTGCCGCCAGCCTATTCTCTGCCTAACATATAGGGATGAACCTAATTCAAAACTCCATCGCGTCCCGAGACGTTTCCTTACGTTTATGAAAGCATGACACTTGGTTTAAGCCATGCGATTAGCATAAAATTAAGGAATTGTAACATTCGTCCAAACACTCCTCCGATCGGCACAGAACAAAGTAAAGGCTCCTCACAAGGGTAGCCGAACAAACGAATAATCTTACGGTCACCAGCAAAAATTACACAGCCACAGGCTAATTTACAATGCAGTCTTTGGACTGGGAGACAAGACCCAAAACCTAGCTATTCCCCTCTACAGAACTTTCTCTGTTAATCGCTACTTAAAAGATTATTAATATAGTGCTTTGTTTACGTGACTACCTGGCGTATGGGGGTCACTTTAGGATTTGTCTGACTCTCGTACTCGTGGTCCCGCCTTCGGGCTATGCTCAGATCAATTTGATCTGTCTTCTTCGAAATACATGTAACCAAAGTCACTTACCGCCTTCTTCCATTCTGTGGGAAGTCTCGAGAAGCTACAATTAATAACTCAACTTTGAGGTTAGAAGTCAAAAACCTTTTAAATATATGTAAAGGACCTGGTTTAATTGCTTCTTTATCTTTAATTAAATTTTATCTTATTTTCCCGCTCGTTCCGTCGATTATAGGTGCATGCGATCAGCCTTTAACGTGTTTGTATAGCTGCCATTTTCTTCTGGCGTCGCCTGCAGCAGATATTCTTTCATTGAACTTTAAGAACTAAAATGAAGATACAGTCAGGATTTTGTAAATATTTCCTTGCAAAAAAAGCATTATTTATAGTCAAAAGTAGGTGTCACTTCGTAATACCTTTGAAATCTTGACTCTGACTTGCAAGCTGCCACAACAGGTACATTGTCTTAAACATTTGCAGAGCATAGAATTCGTTGAAAGCGTATTACCAACTTAATGACGACTTTACAGGGTGACAGCATCACCCAGAATCCTTGCCGCAGTAATTGACTACTACCGGCAGATACTTGAGCAATATCGAGCTCGGACATCATGTTTCTTTGTCAAGCATTGTGCGACTTTTCTCTGCGTGTTACCTGCTTGACAACAAACAAAATATCCCGAAGTTGTGGTTTTTCTGCAATAAATACAATTTCCAGCAAGCGCTCTAGATAGATCCCTGATGATAAGTCAATGTTTTTGAATGTCTCATGCCATTTTCGGGTGGTGTGATAGCCCCTACCTACTTGCATTTGGCCGCTCGTCACTTGCTTTGCAGCACTTGTACACTTTTTTAACCAATATTTTACACATTTTCCAAAATTTTTTGGCTTGCGCTCTTTCTATTGGTCAATGCATGTGTGATCAAGGATGTCTGTACTCCGTCTGCATCGGTTGTACACTTTGCTAGTCGTGTTTAACTTCTGGTAATGTCACCTCCGTCTTTCGAAAAAATTGGTTCCCAAGTGGAGGAGTTTGTCAATGAGAATGCATACTGGAACTCCCCAAACATGAAACTTAGCGTTACATCCCGAGATAACACTGGACTATCAGCATCGCTTTTTGCATATCCACCAAGCTACAACGTTGGACCATTTTATCCATACAACAATTATTGTCGAACAGCTATCGATACAAAGCTTTTCATGTCGCCCTTTAAGGATGCTGAATTGACTTTTATGTTTCTTCAGCCTGCTTCCTTTGGCACCAAGTTAACATTTCCATTATTCATGACTCCAATTCATCAAGAATTGTACGCAGCACTCTCGAATTCATATGCTCGGAAAAGTGCCAACTTGCTTTTTAAAGAACCTGGCCTTCGGTCACGAAGTAGTTATTCTTCAGACAGTATGGTAGTCGACCTTGTCACGGAGTTTCGTGGAAAGAAGGTGAAGTCATATTTGTCTTTTGTTCTATGGTGAGTCGCAACCCTTATGTTATGGGCTATTATGTAGCAACGACAACTTCTTGGTAGGTCCTCGACTGGGGGTGTCTCTTAAAAGGCCATCCCATTGGTACTTTGATTTGAAGCTCGGATACACCTCGAAAAACGTGGAGGCGTTCAGTTTCTTCTCATTCAAGAAACTCCATTCATTACAGCATTTCTCTTATGGAGTGCTCCGAAGACACCCACGGTTTGATGTGGGACTATTTTCATCTTTCAGCAGGACATCTCAAGATAGGTCGTGGTTAACGGTCGCCATGTGTTACAAGCCGAACTCTTGGTCTTTCCTTAAATTCGTCCTTACACAGGATAAACTTTTTGCTTGGAATTATGGTTTTACACTCACTGATGGTAAGTTAAAAGATATGACACCCTAACTTCGTAAGTAAATCTGAATCATGGGGTTCTACTGTCCTTTTTCTTCAGGAGTTTTAACGACGGTTGGTTTCTCCACCGACCTTGGATCAGGTGGAAATTGTATGAAGTTCAATGCCTCAGTCAACATTGTTGCTTGACCATACTGTGTACCCTTTCCAATTATTTGATACCCATTCGTTTTGGCTGTGAATTAATCTAATAGTTTCTTACCACTGCGGAACTATTATCTCATGAAGGTATTTGTGAGTCTTTTAGTGCCTACCATCTCAGAGCAGGTACACTATCTTACAGAAAAATCTCA